CTTCTGGTCAGTAAAGAATCTTTTCATCAGAGTCTATAAATGACAGTATTTCAGACGAAACAGCTGTGCTTAACGCGTATGAAAGGAATTTCGAGACGGCAAAGCGCTTCTGTTGAGAAAACCGCTGAGTTTGTAATTCCTTCAGAAGACAAAACGAACGTCGGAATCCCCAGCGAGCTGACCACATTTGATATCGCACTGGTCAAAGGAACAGGAAAAATTGCCAGATGCATAACCGGAGAGACCACCAGTCTTCCATGTGAGTATTTTATTATTATTTGCGTAATATTTTGAAATTTCTGCGATAAGTGCGCGGGGAATTCATACAAATACCGTATAAAAACAGTGGCACATTCCAACAATTGTTGTGATCTCATGAACTTCGGTGCGCATTGGACAAATACAGGAATTAATGATCATGGGCTCATAAAGTATCAGCATATGTTGTCCTGGATTTCACTGTACGCTCATAAATTTGGTCATAACAGTGTGAGGAAAGTCAACTTGAGGTTATCCACTTCTCATATTATCAAGAAACAAAGCCACAATTTATGGTATTGGAGCTCATCAGTCAAATTTTGGCACAAATTTGAAATTAAGGATTTAGATCAAGTTTGATTAAAATCTGATTCCAGAGAACCAGCAAGAAAATTACAGGTTTTGATATAACCTCATCTTTGATCTCAGGTTTTGATTCACTTCTGGAGGTAAATCCCTTTTTCTTGAGCTTTGATGTAATACCCCAAGCCTAAATTCATGCCCTTGAGTTTAGGCCTGAGATTTTAGGTTAGGGCGCAGAAAAAGCTGAAAAGTGATTTCATATTTACAACTATGTGCATTGCTGCAAATTGCGGTAGTTTTCTATCCTTGTTGTTCTGGAGCTACGTTGTCCGGTCAAGCACAAATACATAGAGGCAAGCAAAAAACAATTAATAATATACTTTGCCTGTTTGCTCTTTCTCGCAAATATCATCGCGTGCATCAGCAGTTCGTCTCGATCAGATGTTTTTACGATAAGATTGCTCTATGCGAACTCCAAGTCGATGCGCCAAAACAAATAGATCGTTGTCGCCTATCGCTGATGAGCTTCTGATCCGTGCAATCAAAGTAAAAAGTCATATGTAGTCCAAAATTCCTTCATATTCTTTTTCTTTGCAGAAAAGAAGGTACTGGGAGTATTCTGAGAGCGAAAAGTGTCAACAGCAACCACTCGCTTGCAAGACTGTCGATGGTCCCCTCTTTGAGGGATTGTTTAAAGCAGGCTGATGATGAATTCGTCTCCTAGCATGTGTCGATACCAATTTTTCACCAAACAAATGAACGAATCGTAGGGGACCAATTGTCCTAGTGACAGAGTTGAACCCTCAAGTTTCTGCATGCTAACAGTGTTATTTCCCGTGGCATCTTGGCATTTCGTCGTAGTATTGTATGAATTTTTTGTACCACCAACAAGGCCAAAAAAATTTTTTTAATAAGTAATAACAGTAGCGATAATAACAGTGAAACAGGAAAAATAACTTATTATTTAAAAGTCAAAACTCTCCCAGTACTTGCTGTCTGTGAGATACGATGGCATTCGAGAGCTAGCCCAAGTGGCAGCTAATGCCAATAGCAACCTCCGTTTGGCAGAACTTCCAATGATTCCCCCTTTCGAGGACTGCTTACAAGCATGTTGATGGCTGGTTCGACTCCATGGCATATACCATTACCAATTCACCATCGAAACGAATGAACGAGTTGTTGGGGACTAGTTGACCCATTATTAATTATTGGCAGAACGAATACAAATATTGCATTGGAAATGGGCTGCAGATGTTATTAACAACGCAGTACTGAAGTAAAGAAACAAAGTAAAAGAAAGAATGAAGCAGTTCAGGCTGTAATAATATAATACCCGTCATAAAAGAACAGTTCAACGTGAACATACTCTCCTTGTCAAATTCAGCTTATGACGTGTTAACACTATTCGTTTCCATAAACATATACAGTCAAGAAATAATAGTCAAGAAATAACAGGCAAAAGAGTCTGGAAATGGAGCGTAACGTTTTTATTACAAGTCAAAAAATCAAGCGACTGCATGAAAAAAAAAAAAAATTCAGAGCCCTCCCAGTAATTCAATCTTTGTGAAAGGCTGAAGCATCCGGAACAGCTGAATAGTAGTAGTTCATGCTAACAGCAACCTCCTGCTGATAAAAGTGAAGTCTCTTTTGAAGACTGCTTAAAAGCAAGCTAGGATACCAGTGACATGCATCAAAAGGCAAGTGCATTTGAGCGTTTTTGTAATTCGATTTTCTGGTTACACATTATATAATGTGCGAGGGTGCGTTTTGGGAGCAGTGCACGCGAGCTTCATTTTGCAAATAGAGTACGGGGCGAGCCAGAATCGAAACACACGTCTTCACAAAGGACGCAACACACTACACCACCTGTCCTTGTGCTCCAGGAACAGCCTAGACAGAATGTTTATATGCTTTTTTTCTTGATCTTATAGATTTATTATATTACCATATTTTTATTATATTACTATTACTGTATTCTTCATGTATTACCTCATTATATTACCATATTCTACATTTTATTATATTGCTATTTTTTGTAATCACAATACTCTGAATTTATTATATTACTGTTTTTTACTTTTACTATGTTCTGAACTTATTATATTACTATTATATCATTTTATTATTGTATTATATTACTATTTTTTACCTTTACTATATTCTGAATTTATCATATTACTATTATATTATTTTATTATACTACTATATTATATTGTCATATTATATTATCATATTGCTATTTTATTGTATTACTATATTTTCCCTTCTGTTTAAATATTGGGGTCAGAAGTCATAAAGCTCAAAACTTTGAAAATTCCAGAACTTTTTGATGGTCTGTTACATAAACCGATGACCTAGAATTGCCCAATTTCAGAGCCATAAGCCATCGGCTTTAGATAAGTACACACGCGCACATCATTTGCCTATGCAAAAACGCATGAATGACATAGTGCGTGAAAGTTGAGTACTACCGATATTTTCGACCGACTACACTGGTACCCAATTCCGGATCGGCTTGCTGTGTCTGCACAGAAGGTGGTGGTGCGTAGCATAGTCCTTTGTAGCATGCTGGAGCATCCGCTGGACATTCGCTACATCGTCGCTTCTCACCTGCCCATTTAAAAGCCGGTACCTAAAAAAGAAGCAATTATCAAAAGTCTGATTCCACGATTTTTTTCAATTTTAATCACCGGAATCAAATGCCAAGACTGCCTGAGCCTCATTAGTTGGTATCTCATTTTAGTGATATTACTTGGATGCTCGCACATGCTTGAAGTGCAGCTGTGTCAGATCCTTCGATTCAGAGCTACATACCTCCAGTTATTACCTGTCGCCTATTCAATCGATGCCTATTCAGGCCACTTCACTGGGGGGTTGTCAAAGTGGATATTTTCATTCTCACAGGTACCACTCACTAATGCGCGACGTTCACCCGTTCAATTTGAGTAAAATACCTTGCCCATTCGAATTTTACTTTCAACAGTGATAAAAAATATACTGGAAAAAAATATGTTAGAAGGGATCACAAACTTCGTTGTGTCCCAGATTAAACTTACCGCAAAGAATCCTTCCCTTGTGACATATACAGTATTGCCCTGAGGATTGTAATGACATACGAAAATGTGCCGATGACCGCGACCCAGAACACCCCAGATATCGCGGCATCGTGCGTACCCGCATCCGACCAAATTTGTTTGAGACCACACTACCTGAATTTCATCAATCTTTATTGAAGTTGAGGGAAAAAGTGCAGTAAAGTTCCCCCTCTTTTTATACTTCACAACAAAATACTATCGAGAAAACTTTTGGACTAATGGATATGTAAAATTAGCTTTTCCTGTGACTCAAACATCCTAAATGTCCCTCGATTTTTTTCTCCGAATCCTGAACCTCCCCATTACACTCCTTTCGAAAAAGCGTCAAAAAAGCTTCATCCTTCAAACACAGTTTCGAGGAAAAAACCTGTAACCTATTTGTTTTTTTTTTCTAGTCATTTAATCTTGTGAAATATCCAAAGGCTTTGATAGTGTGGATGTGGATTCGGGTATGCTATGCAGAAATCCCGAGAATGCTGAGCTTATAGCGGATATTTTTTGTTTCCCGTCCCTCCCCCTCAATTTCTTGATTAGAAAAAACGCAATTTTGCTCGTATTTTCTTCCTGGCCTAATGGCTGTCATTAGCTTTCAGAAAGATTACCTGGACATAATGACCACAGCAGTGTTTGTAAGCATGTTTGCAGTCGC